CAAAGTTAACTCTATTAGTCGTTCATAGAAAAATTAAACAATCACACAACTTTGAACCATCCAAACGATTATATACCTCGGTATCTGAATCAAAAAATTTCTGCAGCGATAACACAACTTACTCCGTTGAATAATATGTGAAAAAAAACTTTAAACTTGTGTTAAAGCTAAAGCTTAGCCTTTCTAAACAAACAAATACAAGATTTTTGGAAAAAGAAAAAATAAAGAACGAGAATAACCAACAAACGAAAGTTTTCTCAACCAATTTAACTTTTATAAGAAGCTTTCTGTTCTCCTCCCTTCTTTTAATTTTTTTTCACTTTTACCCCTCTTTTTCCTCCTTTTTTCCCTTGCTTTGTCATAACAGTACTCAGGCAGAGAAGACTTGGAATTGTACATAACCTGATTTCCTCCCTTTACCTCAGAGTTACCTGCCCAATGTAAACACATCTCTCACAAACAGTTCTCATCGACAGTGTTTCTAGCAGAATATATGTGCCTTCAACACTTAGTAATGTAAGCCAAAACAAAAATTTTTTTTTCCAAAACTAAGCAGGAAAAAAAGAATCATGAAAAGAAAGAAGGGAAGACGAAGAAGAAGGTGAAGAAAAAGAAAAAAAAAAGAAATAAAAATAAACGATGATTAAAGGCAACGTAAACCTCACTAGTAAAACTAAAAATGACATTTGGTGCCGTGCTTACCTTCAATGAAAAATGTATTTTTAGAACTCATTCATTTTTGACGAAGAATAAAACAGCATATTATATCTGTGTAGCTGTTTCAATTCGGAATCTTCGTATTATCAACAAAATTGTTGTTCATCTATTCATTTTACAACTCAATCATGCATGCACTCATCTGAACATTTAAAACTGTCGTTAGGTATTTCGGAACTCTAAAGAAGACAGATACAAGTCCAGATGTGCAACAGAAAACAAACAGCAGCAGTGACAAGTTGCTGTTAAAAAAATTCAAGATTTTTGACACCCAGTTGACAAGATACGTTACCCACTGATATCAACCGTTGCTTAACATGAAGAGAAAAATTTGAAATATATATCGAATCAACGAAATGTTCAGTCGAAAATTTCAGTAGATTGAACAAGACAATTAAAACACTGGTTGCTACGTATTATATAAGTACTGATGATTTACCGGTGCATTGCTGTACACAAAGACTTGTAATGAGCAGAAAAAAAAAAACAACTAGTTATAACTAAATTTGCAGTTCTTAAAATCTGCAAAAGAAACCCCCAGCTTAACAAAAAAAAAAAAATAAATAAATAAATAAATAAATAAATAAAAAAACAAAAATAAAGGAAACTGGTGCAGATTTATGTGTTTAAACAACACAAAATGCACCTACAAAAAGAAATACTATGATTCTGCAACGTTGAACATTACATTTTTATACTGAAAATTTCTTCACTATTTGTCGTTGTGGTTCAGTTCGTGAAAAATAAACCAAAACAAAACAAAGAAGAAGAAGAAAAAAAAAACGAGACAAAGCCGCTAATGTAACTGAAGAACTGTAGAACAAGATGAAGAAAAAAAAAAAAAAACAAAGAGGAAGAAAGAAGAATAACAAACAGGAAACCATAATAAAGTGGGACTCTGTAAAAGAATTAAGGTTTTGGTGAACGAGGTGGAAAATAGAGGACAAAACGTAATGCTAAGAAAGTGAATTTGAACTAAATGCGTAGTTCTGCGCTGTACAAAAGCGGAAAGAAAAAAAAATTCAAAAATAAAAAATAAAAATAAAAAAAAAATAAAAAAAAGATGAAAATCTCACTTATTGAAGTGGCAGTTTTAGTGCAATTTTTCATCCCCCCCCCTCCCAACAAAAAACTTTTTTTCCAACTTTAGACAAAGTCAGTAAAGTCAAAAAATAAAAATTCAACAAAAAAAGAAAAAAAAAAGAATTGAAAAAGAAAAAAAGAATTACCCTCACTAAATTCCATCTTTTCTTTTTTGTCACCTTTCTTCAAACAAATCTTCTTTTACTTATCTAATTTTCCTACTCATTCACACACAGACACAGACACACACACATTCACACACACACACAGACACACACACATTCACACAGACACACACATTCACACACACACACAGACACACACACACATTCACACACACACACACACACAGACCTCTCGTTAAACATATGCTAAACAGTAACTGTTTTTTGAACGATACACTTCAAAGTGCCATTGTAAAATACTGTTCACAGCTGTATAGTAACTGTTGTTGTATGATTGTCCAGGAATACTTCAGAATCGAAAACGCATAACTGTAACCTGTATTTAGTGCAGTAATAGCGTAATAATAAATAAAAGAATCTTCTAGTGAACAAGAAATTCACTGCCAGGTACTTGGAAGAAAAAATTGCAACAACTGTGCAATGTTTTAAAGATGAAAGAAGTAAGCAATAAACTGCAGTAACATTAGCACCTATCATCATTATCACCTTCTGCGGCAGCAGTAGCAACAACAACGACAATTACAACATTAGTTACTTTTACAACTTTTATTACTACCAATAAAAGTAAACACTTCAGCAGTTGTCATAACGATACTTATAAAAGTCTTCAAAGTATTTTAGAACTTCTATTTTACTTCTGCTGACTAAGTCTTCAAAAAACAACACCTCTTTTTTCCATATGTTAAATTTGTGTAGTTTTATCTTCGCTATGCACATATTTTAATTCGAATAAATAAATAAATAAATAAATAAATAAGCAAAAAAAAAAAAGAAATTGAAAGAAGCTAAACTTTCACCCTCAATGTTAAGCAAAAATTTCGATTGGCAAACCAACAATAATTAACAATTAATAAATTGACAAAACAGCAAAAAAAAAAATGACGATGTAAACAGAGTAATGACTGCTGAATCAATCTTAAAATCACTTGAAGTTTACCCGATTGACAGTGTACGGTCTGACCATTTCAAGAAGCCCTCCTTTACTGCTCTTCCGTTTTCCTCCCCATCATCAAGTGGATACTTCAATTTGCTGAACTAAATTTCGTGAAAAAACACGGTTTTTCTAGGTGATCAAATCCGCAGCCATCTACTCGCCCCCAGAAGATAACCAACAATCCACTAAGCAAACAGCATTGACAACATCCAACCACAACACTGACGGTAAAACCGCTAACAATATTTTGCAGTAAATTGGTGTCAAAAAGGGTTATTTTACTGAACCCTTTTTTTTTCTTTTTTTTTTTTTTTTTGACTAAAAATAGATGTAAATGTATTGTCAAATAAAACAAAAGAAAAAAACGATTTCATTATTAAAAAAAAAAATTACTTTTTTCTTTTTCTTTTTTTTTTGGGACATTGTTGGCCTTCAAAAAAAAAAGCCTTAATTAAGGTCTAATAATTTTGCACCAATGTTTGTCATCATTTCTGTAAGTCTATCTTCTTTCTGGTCTTGATCTTTTGCCCCTGTTTTTTTTACAGTTTATTTTGCCAACTCGTTCTTCTATCCAACTAATGACTCTTTCATATATTCAAGAACAAAATCAATCTTTTAATAGTTTATACATTTTGCACTAAACAAAACAAAATTTTATTGGAGGTTTATGACACAAAAAAAAATGAGAGAGAGAACAACGACAAAAAAAGAAGGAGAAAATGTTATAAAAATTGAAGAAAAAAAAAGCCATTGCTTTTCATCCCTTTTAAGATGCTTAATCTGTGAAAGAAAAGATCTTTTTTTTTTTTTCCAAGTCTAAGCTACTAAAAACAGGTAATACTCAACAGCAAAAAAAAAAAGAAAAATTTAGTTAAAAACTCAGAAGATTGCAAAAAAAAAAAAACCTTCTATTGCCTTGCTTTCCATTCCTCTGCCGCCTCCCTCTCCCCTTCCCATACCCCATCGCCCCCTCGTACAGTGTATGTAACTTTTTGGCTTATAAACTCATTTAGTTTGGAACTGTTGTTTAACTGATTGACTTTAGTTGTTGA